GACGACCCAACCAGCGAACGAACGAACGCCCGGCTCAAGCAGGACGAACGTAATCAGCAAATGTGCCAGCCGGCGAGCAAATTTCAGGTTTTGGCCCCAAAAGCAAAATTAGTTCAATTTGTTCAAAATCAAGCTAACGTCTGTACGTATACGGATGTATGTCCTAATGTGCCAGACAAAAGTAGCAGACAAACCAAAAAATAAGATAAAATAACAAAAAAAAAAAAACAAAAAACATTGAAGATGCCGAGCAAGAGAAGCGACTAATTCTATTTAGCATTTGGCAGAATGACTATGACGTTGGCTAACTGGCATTATTTTTATTTTTGTTTTTCCATTTTGTACGTAGCTCTTGTTCGCAGCCGTGCAACTGAACTCCGGCTAATTACTCAATGCAAATTAAAATTCATGTCAAGCAGATTGGATTATCCTCACGCAACATTAAATGTCGCGTTTAGCCAGGCAGCAGGAAAGGTGTTTTCCTTTTTGCCTTTGCTCTTTTAGTTCCGACGAGTTTCGCGCAAAATGGACAACTGGAATCAGGAGCGGAAAGGACAAGGGCGAGGCAAATGGAAGGTAACGAAGACAACGCTTCAGAGCGTTCAGAGGGTGGAAGCGCAGCGCAGAGAAATCTCTTTTGAAATGCTAATGTAAAAATTCTTTAAAGAAAATTACGCAATACATTATTTTGGTTTATTTTGCATTAAAAGTCAATTTAGTGTTAAGGCACAACAACAGCAAAAAAGGCAAAAAAAAAACATGCGAACAGCAGAAAAAAAGGGCAGCTAAGCGGGCGCCCCCAAAAACAAAAGCAACAACAACAGCACAGCGTTCGCCACAAAAAGGAGCTGTAGAGCGTAAAGAGCGCAACAGGATTGGGCACGGACACGGACAGGGAGACGGAAACGAGCCAGGCTTTCCAGGCGTGAACCTGGACGCGAACCGGCCGGGCCATGACAACGCAACTAACTACAGTTTGTGCTCGACGTAAATAACAAACGACCGAAAGTTAGCATTTTTATTTTGCATTTTAAGTTGATTTGCCGGCTGCGTGCTGAGCGTAGTGTCAACGGCACTCAGTCCGTAGACCCGAACAGAGCTGGCATTAAAAAAAAACCTTAAAAAAAAAACAACAAAAAAAGCACAGCCGAACACACCCACACGTTCACATATTCCACAGATGTGAGAGTGGGCAATGGTGTACCGTGGGCAAAATATGTCGCATACTGTTCAGTACCACTGTAGATTTTGAGGAAAAAAATCTGGATCTCATGGAGAGTATGGACGTTAAACTATTAAATTTATATATATTTCGTGTTGCCATCGTTAAATTTATTTATAATTTTATTTTTGTTTCCAGAAATCTTTGATAATTTGTAACTTGCGCTTTTTGAAACTGCGTTATTCTTAAATTTCGTTCATGATGTTCGTTCAACCATTTGGGACAAATGGGATTATGAGCATTAAACACTTCATTTCACAATGTGCAACAAAAACATTATTATGACTACTTTGGTGCTTTTCCTTTTTTTTTTTTTTTTTTGGCGCGAAAAGTTTATTTTTATTTTTACAATTTTTTTTCAACATTTTCCACCATTGTGCATTTGTGTCCTTTTTTCGTCTTATGCTTTGCGTGGGGGCTGCTGCGGCACGCTGCTCTTTATCTATTAAAACGCCTTCCAATTTGCATATTTCTGCAGCTGTAACAGCTGTCAACGCTGGACAGTGATGATGGCAGCGACGGCAGCAGTCCTGACTGCGACGCCGGCTGAGCAGCGGCGCAGGACTTATTGTAACAGCAAACGAGGAGCAGCTCTTAAGATAATGTACTCCATCCCCCTCCCCCACACGTACTCGCTGCTCAGCTGATGAGTGGGAGCATCTCGCGCAAATTAAAGCTCTCGTCTGCATTTTCGGGAGAGAACATACAAAAAAAAAATAAGTGAACAATTTGCAACAATCGTGTGGTCAATGTGCTCGACGAGAAGATATCCCATTGTATGGGATAGTGTGTACTTAAAAATGTGCTAACATTTCTGAAGCGTGTTAAAAAATACAAGGTAAAGCAATTTCTCCTCTTAATAACAACTCTAAGGCATTTTTAATCAACTGCCATGCACTAGGTTTTTGTTTTTTTTTTTTCAGGCCAAATTCAGCATAAGTCAAAGACAAGAAAGCATGATGGATCTCATGCTGATTTATATTGTAAAGTATTTTTGGACAAAAGTGTAGAACGCAGCTATCACATATTGATGTGTAATGCAGGGTATGCAATGCATTTGTCCAGATCACTTAATGACCTATAATGCATAGCATATTAGCTGTGAGGTCAAACAAAAGGGAATAAAGACTGTATTGTGCACATGGCATTAAAAATTAATTGCGTAATTTTTTACAAGTTTTGTTAAGTTTGATTGTTAACAACAACATGCGCCAAAAATGTCTTGTGTTTGCATGGATATTGTGTTTGCGGAAGGGCATTTGTATAGTCGTAGCAGCGGCAACCACTTGACTATTTTATTTTATTGTGTTTCTCTGTTCGGCTTGTTATGCTGTCGCATTACCTACATCAAGTGTCACTTTAAAACGCATTTTTCTTTTCGTACGGCCCCTCAACCCAGCACGCTTTCCAAGTACTGCTCAAAGCTGTCGGCACTGTGCTTATCTAAGGGCTATTGTTTGGTATGCCCGTCGCGGCGCTTGTAAACAATTCCATGCACATTAAGTTCCAATTAAGTAACATTCAAGTCGAATCGCTGCCCGTCGCCGGGTTGTTGCCGTCGTCTATGGGTAAATTGCGGTTTGTTTGGTTTTCGGGTGGCAGCAGCAGCAGCAGCAGCAGATTGCTTTGTTAATATTAATTTGTCATTAATTTCAACGACATCAGCTTACAAGCAGCTCGTTTAAAATGCATTGATAAGCCAAGTGGCCTGGCTGCCAGCTGTTTTCCTACACGCCCGACCAACACACACTCACACACACACACACACACACACACACACACACACACACACACACACACACACACACACACACACACAGCCATCAGATAAGTTTAATGCGCTTTAAACTGTTTGGCTACGGCTTGGGGGCTGTCTTTGTGAGTGCTATGCAGCAACTCCTTGGTCAAGTCCTTTTCAAAACTAAACACAACTGTTGCTTGTGCACTTGTACGCTCAAAGGGTGCGAGCTTTTTAGTTGCGGCCTGACCGCGACCGTTTTCTTCTTCTCGTCTTAACCTGTCTATCTAGCCATCAGTTAATGGCCAATCTTTTTTAATACCCTACAAGGCCAATGATTCAACGGGTCTACTGCCGCGGGCGCATAATCTGGCATATATATAGTATGCATGTTTTTTGTCTTAACACCACTTAAAAGATTGGCTGAAAAAGAATAGGAGAACCTGAGCCATAGAACTCTTATGTTGTCATCTTGTTAGCCGTGTCTTGAGTGTTTGTCAGTCGAATTTCTGGACTGTCGGACTGCCAAAGGATAAGCTGCTGATGTATTCTTGAAGCAAGCCCTATTTTTGCATGGCGTTGAACTATGCAACAGTAAATACTCAACTGGAAAGGTCTCGACGGCAGAAACTCTTTATTCAGCGCTACTTTGTACAACATTTACATGTAAACAGACAGACCAGATCCACAAAGGTTAAGAATGCATTTAGCTTATGTTGCCTAGCAGCTTCACAGCCATTCAGATAGCTAGTGAGCCACGCAATGCCAGCTTAGCTTCCCTTGGCTACAAAATATTCTGGGCATAGGCTTTGACCATTCTGGCTGGCAGCGCATAAAAGGCGCGTGTAGAGCGCTCTCAATGCAACCGCAGCAGTCAAAAGCTGAAAGGGACCACTCTGTTACCTTTGAATGGGCAAAAAAAAAAATAGTTAAAAAAAATAGAGGTGTTATCTGATTGCCATTTTAAACACAGCAGGCGGCGAGCGCATTTAAAAGCCGAGCAGAACAAATACGCGCACATAAAAAATTAAATCACATGCATAGACTATTCACTGGATACACTGGGTAACTGTTCAAAGGGGCATTAAAAAGAATTGCACACAAAGTTTTTGCAATTGCAAAGTGGCAAATAGATTCTAGCAATTGCAAATTCTGAATTTCTCGGTATTTTCCAACCCCAAGTATCTTTCGTATATATATGTATATATATATATATATGTCATTTGAATAGTTGGTCAGCTAATGATGGAATCAACTGGACCACATGCTGACAATTTTGTATTCAAATTTAAAGCATTTCGTACTGTAGCTTAAATTTGCAATTCGTTTATAAATTCTATCATTAGGTAAGAGCATTACAGCTTTATCAATGCTCACATTCTGGCATTAGTCTCAGCTTCACTTCTTTTACAATTGGTCTATCGCTTTGACCAAGTCTGTTTGCTTTCACTGTGCAAGAGAGTCGGGCTGAATGTTTTAAGCTGGGGCAGCGGTGCGTATGAGCAATACAACTTGACTGAAGTCACACTAATTAAATGGCACTACACAACTTGGACTTACGACATGGATAATGACGCTCCTCTGGCGCCTTGCTGACACAGTGCTGTGCAGCAGTATCGGTAATTAAAATCTAAAAAGGATACAGTTCTTCCTGTCTACCGTTGCAGCCGCGTGCCATTCTCCAAGTAGCCCGCTGGCACTCGGTACTATTTGCTTAATCTGTAGTTATCGCCAGGTGTGCGTTCCAAGTGTATGTATGTGTGTGTATGTGTATGTGTATGTGTGAGTGTGCCACAACTGAGAGCTCTTGTTAACGTTGGGGTAAGCAAATAATGAGGTGAGCCACACGAGCTTTTAATGAATAAAAGCAGTAATCGTTTTGAATCGCAGAGCATTTAAGCGTGTCAAAGGAACAGGACATGGTACACAGGACGGTGGACATCAGGTAAATATGCTAGCGAATAGCTATTAAGGTAAAACATTTGGACTCAATTTTCCACCATAAATCTATATACATATATTTTGATTGACAATTTGGTTTCACATGAATGGGGATAGCGGGGAGATGCCGAAACTGCCGGAGAACGGATATCCATAACTATAACCATAACCATAAGGACGACCATAATATCCGCTGCCCAGTAGGCCACCGCCGTACGTACTGCCGTAAGGATAATAAGGATTACGTATGCCAGCACCATATCCTCCATAACCACCATATCCACCGTAGCCGCCATATCCTATGCCTCCAAGTCCGCCAATGGCACCCCCATAGCCGCCAATACCACCCAATGCACCGCCATAGGCTCCATACCCGCTGCCATAGTACGACGGATAGCCTCCAAAGCCGATTTGTCTGGCAACGCGTGCTCCGCCTGCTGCCCCTGGCTGTGCCTCCGGTCTGGCCGCATCCTCCTCCTTGAGGGGCTGGCCAACTGTTGCGTCCAAGTGGCAGGCGACGATTAGCAGCGCATATAATCCAAATAAGACGCAGTTCCGCATTGTGCCGGGACTCCTTAAGCTGTTTACCTAGCGAGCTGCTTGAATTTGTGTATAGCTGTTGTTATGTGGTGACCGTGTGGTTTGTGCGTTCGTGTGGTGCTGTGCAGCCAACTGTGACCCAGCCAGCGAATGTTTTAGCCATTTATAGCCTTAGAACTTTGCGCATAAAATAGAAACTTTTGTTTCGCTTCTTTTTTTGGTGTTCGTTTTTTTTTGTTGTTGCTTGTTAGCGAAATGAGACGCTAATGTAAACGTCATAAAACAAACTATTTAAATATGCGATTGCGGCCAAAATGGAACAAAAAGCCAATTCATGTGGCCCGGCAGCAGCAGCTACCAGTTGCCGGCTATTGCCAACGCCATTGGCTCGCACGCTAAGTGGCGTTCATGAAATCGAATGGCTCACTGGATGTTTAAAGAGCAAAACATTTCACTTTGCGCCAGGTAACTTCAACTTTTGCTTGCCACTTGCCCCGTTCCCGTTCCTGTTAACCTTAACCAGCACTTGCGGTCAGGTAAGCTGTGCAAATGTGCTAATTTCATTTGAAGGTTAGTTATGCTATTGACCAGGCCAAGACCCCTTGGGCCGACACCGGGCGTACCGCACAAGGTTCGCCGCACGCACACGTCATAAGCTTCAACTTTTGGTGCGTAAGTGTAAATTGCTGTTTGCTGTTTGTTGTTTGTTGTTGTTGTTTGTTGGTGTTGGTGTTGCTGTTGTTGTTATTATTGCTGCTTTTGCTGTTGTTGCTGTTGTTTGCCTATTTGCCAGCTTGCTTGTTCGCAGGTTTGTTTTTGTTTGGCTAGCTGTTTGTTTTATGCGCGACCTGTCCATTAACAATGCTCGATGGCTCTATGCCTCACGCCACTTTGCGACTTGTCGCATGAGCAACGTTTTTTTTTTTAATTCTATAGCTTAAGCCAAATCTACAGGCAGCGCCATCGCATCCATTTTTATTCATTTATGCAGAATGATCGCCTCATCGCAGAGTTATTGTAGTTGTTGTTGCTTTTTAATTTGCTTATTCAAATTTAAACGTTTTAAGCCAGTTCAAAAAGTGGGTCAATTAACGACGTCAACATCAATAGCTGCACATTTTGGCGTGTCAGCCCGGGCCAGAAATCTATCCCATCCAAATTCAGGCTAGTCGTCACCATCGGTCAGCATACAAGCCTGCTGCATAAATTAGCGTCGGGCCAAAACAAAAAGCAGTTAAAATTAAAATTGCATAAAAGTTGTGGCCTGGTCAGAGACAGGGAAAGAAAGAGAGAAACATAGTGGTAGCGGGAGAGTGGATGAGAGAGGGAGAAAAAGAGAGGAGACAGAGAAGAAGAGAAGGGTAGAGAGCCAGAGCCAGAGGAAAAGGGAGAAAGCTCTAGCTAGAGGAAAAGAGAGAGAAAGCGAAAGAGATAGAGAGAGATAATGAAAGAGAGAAAGAGAGAGTTAAAGATAAAAGAGAACGGAGAAACGTAGATAGAACGAGAGATAGGGAAAGAGAGATAGAGAAAATTAGCTAGAAAGAAACAGAAAGAGAGAGAGGGAGAGAGACAGAGAGGGCAACAAAGAACGAGAGGGAAAGAGGGGAGGGGGAGAGAAAGAAATAAAGAGAGGCAGAAAATCTGAACGAAAAAGGGAGATAAAGAAAGAAAAAGAAAGTGGGAGAGAGACAGTGGCTTATTTAAAAAAGGTTAAAAGAATACGTGATATAAAAGAAATTCTTTTTAGGACTGTAGCCAAAAGGGAACGGATATCTTGAGTTTATAAGTACTTTGACGGGAAAAATTTATTTTAGCGCGATTATTTCTATAGCGGCAATAATTTAGATAGTTAGAGACGATACGGTTTTGTAGGTACATATGTGCGGAATTGTTACGCTGAGTTCGGTTGAAATATTTTGAGTAACAGAACAATATTCCATACAAAAAATTCTTGTTGTTTCTTTCAACCAAATGATATAGTAGTTCGTAAGATTTTGTACTTGTGTAAGATTAAGTTGAAAAACAAAGGATAGTTTAGGAAATAACATTTTTGTTGGATATATTAAGAAGAGTAACAGGATCTCAGAAACTACAAGCAGAGACTTGGAATTTTGAATCCCCCTAGAAGATCAAGTGGAATCTGGTCTTGAGAACAAGTATCTCAGCAACATTTCACTTATCAGTTGAAATTTTGCTCGGATCAATTATCTTGTGTAGAATACACCGATCCAGAATACTTCCTTTCTCCACAAAATTGTAAGAAGCTTTGCTTGCACTCTCGACTAGGATTCTTAATTTTTTTTATTAAATTGTTAAAAATTTATATTTTGAGCAGAATCATGTACGTTGCCCAGTAAAGACATTTAAATGGCTGGCTGGCAGCCAGTTGAGCAGCCACTTGACCAGCTGCCCTTGGTGTATTGGGAGGCCAACTGAGCGGACTTGTCTGGTTGCCTAATAAGTTTCCGTTATTATTATAGAGAATGGGGTTATTGTTGTTGCTGTTGTTTACGCTTAGCTAGGCAGTTAATACCGAATGCTCTGCTCGGAGTATTCATTTCATTTGGGAGTTAGGGCAATGTTTATGCCTGGCCAAAAGTTTACGCAGTTTCAGCCAAACCACTTCTAGTTTTATGGTCCTGCTATCGCTTAGCCAAAGTGTTGGCGAATTCATATGAATTGGTTTGGCCATGATGCTTAGTTCCTTTGGAAGCAGCTCCAACTTTCTGGCAATTAGACCTTGGCAAAGAAGCCGCTGCTCGATGCCGCTCGTATAGTCAAACTAAAGTTTTTCAACAAAAATCAGTAAATTAAATTTCTGCTTGATTTAAAGTAGATGCTGGTGGAGTTTAACTAATTTACCCGATTGTTAAGTCGATTGACGGCTAAGCCTAAACCTATTTGCGGCAATTACTCGGGCACCAAGACTTTTGTGCAAAAATGCGCTTGAGGCGCTTTATACAAAGTAAAATAAATATATAAATGCTGCTATTTATAACAAAGAAACGAATTGCACCTTATCTCAATTGCCAGCCAGGCATTTTGGTCTCAAATTGCCTCCCCCACGCCACGTTCTTAGTGGGCGTTTGTCGATAAAGATTAAAGGCTGACTGTAAAATGTCGCTTTTGACAAGCGGATTTTATTGTTAAAAAATTAACTCGGCTTTAAATTTACGCCTTTTGTTATCCCTTGACCTTAGAGTGGTCGACACGCACACACACACAAATATTCGCCCCCGCCCACATTTATAAAAGTTTCTTTCAGCCTCTATGTGCGCTGGTCGGGCATAAAGGAAAAAATGTCTTTAGATTGAAGCTATGGCCTGGCATTTCATTGCATACCCTTACAGATGCCGATGCGATGATTTAAGAAACATTTTCTGAAAGTTTTCAAAGAATAAATGTTTGATATGCCGTTAAAAAGGATGTTCAAAAAAATTGTTTATATATTCTTGAGCGACATTCAAAAGTTGATAACAAACAAGACTCTATATGTAAATGGCTGGCCAGGGGCGTTAGAGTGTGAAAGTATCTTGACTTTCTTGCCTCGCCATGTCATATCTTATCGAGGGCGTGTCTCAATAAATCTACAGCACCTCTGTGCAATATTTGGGATGTATCCATCCATCCAAGGGACCCAACAGCTGGCAGCAGGACTAGGAGCAGCAGCATCAGCCAAAAGCCGTTCTAACTGATTATCCATGTTGTCCGAAAGGAGCAGCAACAGCAGCTGCTGATTGATTTGTTATTGAAAATATTAGGCCTGCTTGGAAACTGGGATCGATTTCGGCATGGTGTTGGGTGGGGCGTGGCTGAAACGTGCTGTTGGATACGCTTGAAACTTTTATAACTTTATGAGGGCGCCGTAATTTGATATCGCAAAGTTTTTTATTGCCTTTTATAGGCTTATAATTTGGCCGCGATGCTGTTGCTGTTGTTGTGAGCTATTGCTGGCATTGTTGTGGCAGCAAGAGCTGTCTGGGTTGGCTGGCCCACAGGGCGTATGCTTGTTGTGGCAGCTTTTTGTTTACACGTTATTTATGGCTTATAAATACGAGTACGTCTGTTCGTAAGCATGTATCATTTACGTTTTGAGGGACATTCGGGGGCTCGGCTTTGGGAAATTGTAAACAACTTACATGTGGCCTCTGCGCGCACGAAATCTCTTAATGAGCATTCGAATTGGCATAATGCTGACAATGAAATTGCATATACGTATAATTGGATTAGTGGTCTGTGTACTTAGCTTATTGTTGCGTTGTTGTCGTTGTTGCTGCTGCTGCTTCGACGATATAATTAGCAACGAGCGAGTCCCAGAACAGGTTAGTTTTGTCATGCGGCAGGCTTACTGTTTATTCTGGCAACAGAACAACAATTGAGGTAGCAGCGGGCTCATAGCTTGCGGCTCTTTAAGGGGATTTTTCTTGGCCATTTGATAATGCTCAGGAAATTTAATTGCTCGAAAGGGTCAGCGGCTCGTTAAGAATTAACGGGCATGCCGCTGCTTCTCCCTATATAAAGAGTCAAGTTGAGTGTTTGCCACATTTTATTAGACTTGGTGCCCCACAGCGAAGGGCAATGCGTGTGCTTCATTTATATCTAATAGTGCTAAGTGCTCTGTTGCCCATGCTGGGTGCAAGCAGCACCAGAGACGGCCACCCACCAGCGGAAATGAAGCAATGGCGGATGTAAATCAGGCAGCGGATCAGCAGGAGATGCCGGCATTGCGCTCGGTCAGGCAGCTAGGCAACGGCCGGCGTTTTGGCGGCGGCAGATTTGGTGGGGGCGGTCTACGCCGTTTTGGAGGCGGTGGCTTACCTTTTGGCGGCGGCGGTCGACGATTCGGTGGCGGCAGGCGGCGCTTTGCCAATCCTGGTTTCTATCCGCAACCATTTGGGTTTTTTGGCTAAATTATAAAAGTTTAATGTACATATGCTATAAGATCAAAAGTACTTAGCAGTAAACATATCCAACTTTAAATTAAGCAAATACGAAACTTGTTTTTGCCTAAGCAGCGCCTCTTAAATTCTTATAAATACTTGTAAGTGGCCCTGGCAAAGATTATTATTTCCAGCGGAACGACTAAGCCATCCCATAAGATGCCCTCTTTTATTTCTCTGCGCCTGACGTTGAGTGTGCTGCTATTTGGCTTTGTTCTGGAAGCTGCAGCGGATGCGAATGCACCGCAGCTGGCGGAAATAGGGCAAGAGAATGTTGAAGAGCTGCCGGACAAGTCACACCAAAAGGACATCGCTGAGCGAGTGCGTCGTCAAGGTTTTCGATATAGACCTGTATGCAACATACCAGGTTATTATGTAGGCTGCTTTTCAAGACGTCGTTATTACGGTGGCTACGATGACAGATCTTTGATCTTTGATCAAATCTATCTTTTATTATCTTAAAAGGAGACCAATTTTGATGTTTAAATAAATGCCAAGACAGTTAAATAAACAAACAGATAGAAAAGCAGCTTATGCATCAACGGGTTAATGTTTGGCTGAGCTGCGGGCGCTGGTAAATTTTTATTTCAAATCACGTTGAGTGACACAGGACAAGAAACTTAATCAGCAATGTTAACGATGTCAGTTGGAATAGCAGGATGCCGGCATGTGGCACAAGCGGGTTATTCCGGGTCGCGTTGCCGCGTTTTTTTCTAATTCATATGCGTTTCAAGTTTTAATTACGTGGCGAAGACGAAGAAAAAGAATGAAAATAGACGAGAATGCGAATGTGGATGGACGTCTTCTGTCTTGGCTTGACTGACAGCAGGGCAGGCGGCATTGCACCAACATGAAAACAACAAAATACGCCCAATCAGCGCAGCAAGAGCGGAAGCGACACGATACACAGATACAGATACACATACAGACAGAGATACAGATACAGAGACAGTTACGGATACAGCCACAGAGGTCTGGCAAAAAAAGGGCGAAAAAATTAAGTAGCGAAATCAGCGGGCAAAAAAAAAGCAAGTAAACAAGTAAGCATGTATTACATTACGTGTTTGCTAGACTTGGAGTTACTCTGCAGCCAGCTCTCAGAAAGTCTAAGCTAACTTTGCAAGTGCATGGGGATTTCATTTTTATTAGTAAGCAATAAGTTGCTTTGCATAAAAAGATTAAAAATATGTGTATATATATAAAAAAAAGTTGCCTGATTGAGTTGCAGATGCGTCAATTGGCAGTGGAACAGGGTATAACAAGAAAGGGAACAATGTGGAAACAGCGTAGGGCAGACACGAACAGAGTAATACGGCACAATGCAGAGCAAAGAAGAACACAAGTCTAACAGGATAAAGGCGTTGCATGCCAAGGATTATCTGCGGCAGTGGAAAGGAGAAGCTGGCAACACGAGTGGAAGAAAAATAATGGTAGCACGCAAAATTGTGAACTCACTTGACGTGGCTCATTCTGGTTGAGTTGCCTGCCCACGCCCGACCCACTCCATGCTCCACTCCATCAGCACAGCTCGCTGGCAGCAGCAGCCAGCACAACAACTCAACCTCACCCACATCCAAATGCCAAACGGCATGACGATGTTGTTTGCCGCTGACGGGCTCGGCGGTGGCATTGCTTCTTAGCTCCGTGTGCCGGCCAAATCAGCGTGCCAGCAACAGCAACAGGATGAGACACACAAAACGCACAAGATTTGGCCAACAGCATAAATATGCGCAAGCCGATGGTAGCAGATGGCCAAATCGCTGCTGCTGCTGCTGCTGCTCCCACAGCTGCGATCGGCAGGGGTAGCCCAGGCTTCAAGTCTTTGGCTGTGCGTGCGTGTTTTCTGTTGCCGGCAGGCGTGTTGGTTGGGGGAGGTGGTATGAGCCACAAAAATATTCCCAGTAATTAACAATTACATGGAAGCGAACCAATGTTGTTTGGCTGGCAGCTTGACTTGCTTGGCCAGGGCCGGATGCTTGAATTGGTAACGCACAGCTTGATTGACCGTCAGCAGTTATCAGAATGAGTGCCTGTCAGACTGTCTAGCTGTGTGTGTGCGCGTGCGTCTGTGTGTGTCTGTCTGAGAATGTGGCAGTAATCGTATTCGGCCGTCACACTCGTCAATTTATTTTCATGTTTATGCCCGAATAAATACAGAAATTAACTTTTCCTCATTCATATTTTGGCAACTACGCCAAAATGTTATTCAGTTCATTTTCAGCTCGTTTTTCAGCACTTAGCTGCAATATTGCCACTGGGCATATCGAAATCAAGTATTTGGTACATGGCTTGTTATTCCATTGGCATTCCGTAAGTCTGGAAAATATGCATTGAAATACTTTAGCCGATCTGCACACAAAATGTTTGTGGCTTAACTTTTCTCTGCTTTTTGCATATTTTAAATATTTGGATCTGTTTTAGTCATTAGCCATGCCACATTGTGTGCATTTATGTGATCTTTTTGCTGGATGAGCTGTTATGTGTAATTGTATTTGCGGTCAAAAGTGAAAAGGCCTGAGCAAGAGAGAGGGAGAGAGAGAGTGAGAGCTGTAGATTTGGGGGGTGCTGGGGCAGACAGAAAGTTTGCCATTTGAAAAATGTGGGGAAAATCCCTAATTAAACAGTTTGTCAGTAATGCAAATAAACTTCGTTAAACTTTTGCGTACCGCTAACGACAAGGCTGGGCACAAAGGCGAACGCTTCCCGCTGCCCCTACCCCGCGACCAGCGGCCCATCCATTTTTGCTTATTATTTTCGCTGCTTACTTTTTTTTTCGCCAAACACACAAAAATGTAATTATTAAAAAATTATGCTAAACACGCAATAAAAAGTTGGTAAGAAAAAATTAACGAAAAACTCCAACGGATGGAGGCAAACAGAAATTAAAAAACGAACAAATACAAAAATAAAAATAAAAAGAAAAAATGTATTTTTAAGAGGCAAATGGTCAAGTTACAATTTTCTTGTTTTTCGCTGTGTATTACTTGCCCGCATGAAAGAAAAGAAAACGGCAAAGCAACAGGAATAAAAACAGAAAAAAAATTAACAATTGTTAATTTGAAAATTGCACACAAATGCGTAATGTGAAAGTTTTTGCGTCCCGTTCGCAATGTTGGACTTGGGCTACGCGCAGCTCGGCTGGGCCACTTGTTAAGTGTTAATGAAATAATTATGCCAACTTTTGTCGGGACTGCGGCGGTGCACATGACTGCCCATTCGCACCACCATCAAATCGCATATATATATAAACATATATATGTATACATATATATATATATATATATATATATATATATATATATATAAAAGCCCTGTGGGGCGTGCAGCATCCTCATGGCCACTTCAGTTTTATTGTGCGCCTCCCCAGCGCACAATGAAGTGTGAGCTTTGGGCCCACCGCACCCATGACTTGCTTCTCTTCTTTTTTTTTTTGGTTTTTTTTTTTAATTCGATAAACTGCCCTCTAAAGGCGCCCAGAGACGATGTCGCGGAGGACGACGACAATGCTGTCGACCTTGGGCTAAGCCTGCGCCTAAAAGCAGGCAACGCTTTTGTGCTCGGGAGGCCTTCCAACGACTAAGCCGCTTAATTACAATAAGTTGGGCCTGTGGGCGCTGCCTGCTATTTACTTAAGACGCGAAAATGTGATTAACAAGTGTGAAAAGCCGTTTGGCCCCTTAGCTCCAACTTCAACTTGTGTCTTATTTTTATTTCACTTAATTTTATTATTTTCCCTCTTCCGCACAGTTTTCGCGCAAGTTTCATTTTGCTTGAATAACTTTAATTGATTTAGTTGGTGTGTGCGTGTGTGTGCTGCGTATATGCTAGCATTCAATTACTTAAAAATTGCATGGCAAAGTGTTGGGGATTTGACTTAAAAATTAGCGCAAGTTTTTGCCCAAACGACCCTCGCAACCCACAGCCGCTTTAAAAGCTGCGACAATGCAGGACAAAGTTGCTGCCACAAAGTTTTTGTGGCATGGCCTGCGCGCCACATGCATCATTATCAAGCCCAATGACAGGTGTGCGCATGCCAATTTGAACAGCTCTAATTGAATTTAGTAAACTATATATGTATCTGTGTGCGGCTCACTGTCTGTTGCTTGTTGTCTGCACTCGACTCTCGACTGCCGACTGTCGATTGCCGACTGTCGACTGCTGGGTTTTTGGGGGCGCGCTGCCGAAAAACTTTCACGCTGTCATTGTAATACACACCTTATCCGAATGGCTGCCCGCCCCTACCCCATTGGTGGTTCATTGTTTTGTTGCTAGTAGCCGGGAGCAGGAAGCTGGGCACTAGACAGCTTGGGGGGCTGGGTGGCTGGCACCGTAGTTGCAGGCTGCGTGTCGTGCAAATCCCAGGCAAGTTGTTTCACCCCGCCCGCTGCTAACGCCGCCAAACAATTAACGTTAATGGATCATGGTAACTTTTTCGCCTTTTTCCACTGTGGAATCCCAGCGGTGCGTGTAAACTGGCAAAAGTAGCAAAAGCAACAAACTGCGGCACACACACACAACGCACCATGGCAGAGCGGTGCCGGAGGGGCCACAAGAAGCTCAGCAGTGCCATCAAAAGGACTGCTCCTGCTGCTCCTTGGCTTCATCATGGCATGTGAGAAGCGGCATCGCTGCTGCCGTTGGTGTGTCTCTTCGTTAGACTGGCAACCAGGATGTCTTTCGACACCGTCGCCAGTCTTTGGCAAGTTTTCTGCTGTCTTTTGCTGTTTTGCGTGCTCCCTCTACAAGTTTCTGCCACTTTTCACTTTTCTTTGCCATTTCTTTTTGGTTCTTTTCTTTTCTGTTGCCCTTACTTTTCGATTTGTGGAGCTAGCGAGCGAATGAGCGAGCAACGCGCTCAACTTTTAACACACTCAAGTGTCGTAATTTTGGCTGCTTTTTCGCACACAAAACAATATTAATGCTGGTAGTTTGCGGGGTCGGGAATGGGTGTGTGCATGGGGCTGGGTATT